GGGGGGCGGGGGGTACCAGTGATTAAATCCTAGTACCCTTAACCACTGAGCTGTAGTCCCAACCCTTTTTTAAATTTTTATTTTGAGACAGGGTCTAGGTTGGTTAGGGACTTCCTATATTGCTGAGGCTAGCCATGAACTGACAATTGTCCTGCCTCAGCCACCCCCAGTTCACTGGGACTGCAGGTGTGCACCCTGTGCCCAGCACTTTCCTTGTAGTGAGCAGGCTGTGCTGGGTGCTGGGGATTAGAGGTCAGTGGCCGTCCCCAGTTAGGGTTTACTGGAAGAGAGGCCTTCAATACGGCGTGATGAATGTTCTGGTGCCAAGGGCACACAGGTGGTGGTGAGGAAAGGACTCCTGGGTGGCCACAGACCAGCAAGGTGAACGGGTGTGGACAGGAGGCCGCAGCCCAGCAGGATAATGGGGGTCTGTGAGGGGCAGGGGAGGGGCATGTCTGGGATTGCACCCTATAGGGGTGGGGAGCCAACAGGGCATCCAGTGAGGAGCAGGGACAGAACTAGACGCCAGGTTGCATGTCTGTATGGTGGAGAGGACAGGGACGGGGATGAGAACTCAGACGGAAGAAATGTGATGAGGGATTGCAGGGACTACCCAGAGGCCGCCTTTGGAGGCGTGAAAGCAAGTCTGTATGTGAGCAGCTGGTGGATGTGGACGTCACCCTCAGCACCACCGCGCCCTTCAGAGCTCAGCCTCTAGATTTCGTCACGGCTCTGGAGAAGGCAGAGCATCGAGAAGTTGTGGGATTTGGTAATGCCACACATTGTGTTTTAGGAAGAGGCTCGAGATGGGCCACTGGAGGCAGGGAGTCCAACGGCAGCAAGAGGAAGAGAGAGTGTGGCTCTGCTGTAGATGAAGGACCTCAGTCACGGGGGGACATTGATGGGGACGGAAAAGGAAGGGCTTAGACATCTGTGGGTGCAGAGACAACGACTTTGCTCACGTCTGCTCATTGATTCCAAGCTACAAATGCTTCCGTGTGCTTTGTCTGTCTCATCTGAGCATTCCAAGTCCAGGCAGCCACGCTGTGGCACGTAACCGGCTGTCTGGCCAGACCACGCCTTCGCCTCCCGTTCTCCCTGCCCCTGCCCCACCAGTTGCCTTCCAGTGACACAGAGTTGGAAAAGCTTCAGCTCCCGAGAGAGGTCGTGGTTTGGTGTCAGATCTGGGAGACCCCCGCCGGGGTCAGTAGGAGCTGGGTCCAGGATGGGTTGTGACTGAGCATGTGTGTGGTCTCAGGACGGGGGCTTTGAGGGTGGAGGGTTCTTAATGGCTTTGAACCAGGGGACTTTTCAGACTTGCCTGGAGTTGGGGGCAGCCCCTCCCTGCAGCCGTGCCTGCTGGGGCTGTGTGGGTCCTGGGCTGGACTGCCCACTCAGGTCCCAGCCAGTTTTCCAGACCTGAGGTTCCTTCTGCCTACAGCGAGCAGGGTAGAGGTGGCGCTCTCGGGAGGCACTGTGGAGACAAGCTCTGTCTGTCGCACCTTCCAGTCCAGCCCTTAGGTTTCCGTGGACTGATGGGCGGTGGCTGTTAGGAAGCGGGGACTCTGTCACTGTCAGAGTCAGAACAGCCTCTGGGAAGAGACCTTCTTACATGGGAATGCCTTCTTTCTCAGATACATTAAGGAAACAAACATCAAAAATGACCCAAATCAACTCA